TGAAGAACTCATTCAGAACCGGTTGTACATTAATTTCGAAAAGAAAATAATAAGCTTTATTTAGATGGATTGTTAAGTTTTACTCGAATGTTTAATTTATATAAAGAATGACTTAATACAAATGAGTATGGCATGAAAAACAAAAAACAACGACAACATTTTTTTAAACAAATTACCAATTCAACTATTTAGTTATGAACCGTTTAAAGTTTTTGCTTTTTTTTCCTTTTCAGTTATCCTAAGTTGCTGAATGAATAGTTTTTAATATAAACTGTTTTACACGCACCTCGTTTGTAATAAAACGGATAGTTACGGAGAACGAAACGTTTCTTGAATATAGAAAGCGGGTATAAGACAGATCCTCTCCACATAAAGACAAACCCAAGCAGTGGATATTTGCGGGCTAATGATGATGAAGAAGTTAATAGTATAGTTGCAGATGCAGCTCCCTAAAATACTCTAGCCGGCATCTATAGTTTAGGCTCATTGATGTACGTAGAAACTTCAAAATCTAGCATCATTTTCAGAAAAGAGAACCTTCACAGAGAAGAACTGGCAAGGATCTCCAGAAATACATTTTTTTCAGTAAGTATAATATTGTTACCTATAGTAAGACTATAAAAATTTAACTTCAAAAACATTAGATAAAAATAGCGATAGATTTTTATACATTATAAAACATGTAGTACATTAGAGATATAGTATAAAAACATCTTGATTTTATCCTATTAAAGCCATTATGAACACAACTAAGTATCTATTTATCAACCAAAAAATGCATAACCTTACCCCGCACCTCACGGTCACACCAGTAGTACATCAACAACAACAAAAAATTTTTCCCGAGTCACAGTGATAAAACTTTTAGCGTAGTTAGGTATAGATATTTTGTAATTCTCTTGAAGCGCCGCTAGACGTCCGCACATGAGACGCGCGGTTCAGTGTGCCAGGATACTATAAATTCCATAGTATTTTAAGTGCATTTTTACTTATTATTTCTAGTCATTACAGCCTACAAAAGTACAATACTAAACATCATCATCATCATCATCATTACAGCCCTTCACAAATCCACTGTTGAACATAGGCCTCCCCCAAGGTATGCCACAATGCACGGTTCAGAGCCACCTGCATCCATCGATTTCCTGCATGTCTTACCAGGTCATCACTCCATCTAGTGGGGGGTCACCCTAAATTTCACCTACCGCTACGAGGCTGACACTCGAGAACCTTTTTTCCCCTTCGGTTGTCGGTTCCTCGAGCTATACGGCCGGCTCATTGCCACTTTAGCTTACCAATCCATTAAGCTATGTCGGTTACTTCGGTTCTATTTATGGTTTGGTCGCCAGTGATAGCATATGGATCTGAAACGTGGTCCTTCGCTGCTGGCCGTATGACAACGCTCAAGGTCGCGCAGCGAGCTATGGAGGGGGCAATGCTCGGAGTTTCTCTGTTTGATAAACTTAGAAATGAGGATGTCCACATTGGAACCAAAATGACTGACATTCTAAACATAGGAGGCACTAAACTCTATAACTTTGAGTAGAGTGCATAGAGGTGAGGAGGTGGGAGATTCTCCCTATAGAGTGCTTCATAGGGGGCACACTATGCAGAGATTTTCCATAGTTGCCATGCTCAGCAGGCAAGATGGCAATCACAAAAAATTATATAAATTAGTTTTTTTATATATTACACTTTATTTATTAAAGAGTTGTCGTCGTACATACGGTAATCGTTGAATAGTTCAATAAATTATAATTAATTACTATTTGCGGTCGAAGCAACGTGACCAAGTGTTTTCAATAATAATAATTATATATTTATTTGAAGTTTCATTACCTAAGCAATGATATTAAATATATATATATATATATATATATATATATATATATATATAACACCTGGGAAATTGCGGGTACGTTGCCTGCCTTTTAAACAGGAGTAAGCTCGTTTTATAGAATAGAGTGGTCCCTTTCTGGTCGACCCATTCGTCAACCATAATATAGCCGCAGTGTGCCTCTACCACGTATATAATGTCAAATTAATGTAAATTAATGTCAAATTCATTCAATTCGTGAATTCGTGTGTGAATTCGATTATGTGTCTCTGGAACGCTTCTTAGGGGAAATGAAGCGAGTGATACGGCTTAAGTGAAACTTGTAGAATACGTCAATTGGATTACTCAAGCCATCCTTTACCCAGCTGTGTACGAGGCAGTCAATATTGGCTAGAGTGTTTCAGCGACGGCATGTAGCATTGAACGTTCGTTCGATACGTTATAACATGTTGAGACCATACATTACCACCTATAAAAGTTTACAACTGATAGACCTGCCCCATAGATTGCCTCATAGAAGGGATTTTGCCATAGTTGCCACGCTTAAGATGCGAATTGGGTACCACAGTTTTTGAAGTGAAAGCTTCCTTAGAATCGATGTAACTTGAAACTCAATGAAATGCAAAAGCTACACTAAAAAGAGATTAACATATATATGTATATAAAGGATTTGGTCTGCGAGAAAATGACACATAACAATAACATAAACACTCACGCCTGTCACTCAGAGAAATAGACAGAGACTACGGACTTCCATTTGGAACGATCCTGTCACACCTCTATCGTCTCCTATATGTTACATCATATATCAACGCATAGCTCGTCAGTTTAGAGTAATAATAATTATAATGTCTTCCAGACTAAATTTTTGTCACGACGGGCAATCTCAATGGAGATAAGTTATACGTGGTAGAGCCACGCTGCAGTTATATTGTGGTTGTAGCACGAATGGGTCGGCTCGACCGGGAAAGGGCCACGCTCTCACAGAATACCAGCGTAAAATAGCAGCTAAATGCTGCTGTGTTTCGTATGGTGAGTGTAGAGATCCGGAGACCTTTTTTATTGGAAATGAGGCATTCCATCGCAGTCTTCAGGGGTGACAACGCATCTACGTTTTGATTCTTAATCGAGGATAAATGTAGATGTCTATGGGCCACAGCATCCACTTAACGCGGTATCAGGTGGACTGTGTGCTAATTTGTCACCCTTATTCTATAGAAAAGCCATCTGCGCAGGACAGGATTACGGTGTCCAAGTGCATGCGCAAGCACAGGTGCATTCTCTATTCCCTCACTTTCATAGTCAGATGAGACGGTAATCCGACACGACCGGATTGAGATCAAGCGCTGGCCCTTGACTATACTTTATGTGCCTTCCGAGGCAGGAGGGTGAAACACCGCCAACTAAGGTTATGTTCCATTTACATGATTAAACCACTGAAGCTATCCTTTCTTAATGCTGGTCACAATATCATCTTACAAACCACACTTTTCTCTTATCACACCTCACCCTGTCACTCGGATTCAGTCCTATTATACTCATTAGGTACATTTCAGTAGATTTACAGAGGTTCATAGGAGTTTTAAATTACTTCGTCACCTTGAATAAAAGTTATAAGTAATAAAATTCAAACCAGAAGAAAATTAACTATTAGGTTAAAGGACTCTCTTTATGTGTGGAAGTGCATCTGGGCAAGTTCACTATCATCACCTGTTATTTCTGCTGAGAATAACAGTGCTGGGTTCCGGTGTAGATGAGAAAATAATGGTCATATTCATCTATATTAAATAAAAATGATTAATTTGTGTGATTAATGTGATTAATTTAAATTATTGATCAGCGCCACCTTCCGGGTCCAACTACGCCTATAACCTTCGTGGAAGTGCAAGCAACAAGTTGACAAAGTTTTACCGCAATCTGATGAACGGTATTTCAGCGCATAAAATACAAACAAACAAAAATAGCAGCTTAATACTGTTGTTTTGTATGGTGAGTGTGGAGATCCGGAGACCCTTTTTTACTGGAAACGAGGCATTCCATTGCAGTCCTCAGGAGTGACAACGTATCTACGTTTTGATTCTTAATCGAGGATAAAATAGATGTCTATGGGCCACAGCATCCACTTCCCATCAGGTAGACTATGCTTGTTTGTCGCCCTTATTCTACAAAATTAAAAATTAATAATAAATAAATTGCGATTACTAATTCTGTGGAGTCTAGTAACTGGTATTACAAGCTTTTGTTTGTTCCTAATGATTAAAGTATGAACGTCTTTTTTTATCAACGCCATTTATGTTTTTACGTAGATAAACTACATTTTCATAAATATATTGCGATGCCAAAGTTAATATGATTATTTCTTTAAATTTTCCCCATTGGATTTCTTCGGACCTAGTTATAAATTATTCTTATGGCTTTCTCTTGTAAAACAAATCTTCAATGTCAGTCGATCCCATACCTAAATTCTATAAGATATTACTTTATGAAAGTAACTAAAATAAACTAATTTAGCTGTCTCAACTTTGGTGAGACTTCTAATCTTTTTACAACATATGTTGCAGAAAGACTGCTTGCTAATTTAGTTATATGGAGGCTCCATTGAAGCTTCGCGTCAATAGTAATACTAAACAGTGGCACCCACCAGGCTAAACACCTCCGCGTTTAAGAGCACTAATACATTATCACCCATTTTTAAGTTTTTGTCTGTTTGTGTATCCGAATTGCTAAAACTATGTTAATGCAACTACACGAATAGATAGAGAACAATGACAGGAGTGTTCTAGTTTATATTTTATCCGAAAAAATTGGAGACTTTTCTGGACTGTATTGATAGACGACGATTGAGAGACGACCTGTACGCAGGCAAAACCGGGCGGATCGCTAGTTTCAAAATATAAAGACAGCGAAATGATACTAATTTTTTGGATTTTATGGCGTTTAATATATAATATAAACTTTTTAATTTACCCGACGTTTAGGACGCTTTACAGTAACTACGCATGGTCACGGGGAGGACTCAATGTATGCCATGGGTACTGTGACGCGATAAAATAAGTAAAATAAGTTTAATTTAATGTGTAGTTGAATAAAAAATCATTATTATGTAGTATTCGCATAAATATAAGAAATAATTAAAAATAACTATCTCATTGTGTTCACTTACAGCGCTAAGTGCGGCGTCGAAGATCTGGTTCCAAGCTAGGGCGGCGCCTAGGGCGGCTGCGGCGAGCAAGGCGGCGGTGCCCGCCACCACCAGCCGACCGAGGGGCACCCGCCCGCGCATGGCGTTTCGCCTTCTGACTGCGCAGCCCCTGGCAACAACCAAAATAAAATTTATACTTATAATAATAATGTCCTCCAGACCGAATTTCGGCCACGGCGGCCTGCCTCAACGGAGGCTAGCCACCGGCGCAGGACAGGATTATAGTGCCCAAGTGTATGCGCAAGCACAGGTGCACTCTCTATTCCCTCACTCTCATAATCCGATGGGACGGTAAACCGACACTACAAGTACAAAAGAGATCAAGCGCATAACCAACGGTTTTACATGCTTTCCGAGGCACGGGGGTGAGACATCGTCAACTTCCTGACTCCGGGCAAATACTGAGAATTTCTTGACAGAAAAACTCAATAATTGATTTTTTGGCCCGAACCGGGATTTGAACCCTCATCGAGGACCTCATGATCAGCAGTCGCACTACTACAAGCGCTAGACCAACGAGGTAGTCAATATACATAATATAATACATATAATATGATACTTATATTATAAAGAGAAAAGAGGCCATGTAAGAATATCCACTAGCGCATGTCGTCCCGTGGATGTCGTAAGAGATGACAGAGAGAAACAAATCAGGAGCTGGGCAGCAGAGTCTTACTAATAAGGACTTAAAATAAGAAACTACAGTTGCCAAGCGTGAAAACTAAGGCTAATATCCTCCTTATGAGGCCTATGGGGGAGGTCTGTGTGCATCAGTGGGAAAAAAAAAAAAAATTTTTATTTAAAAAAAAAAAAAAAAAAAATATATTTTAATAACTTTTTTTTTTTTTTATTACGAAAAAAAAAAAAAAAAACTTTTCACCTTACATATTTATTTTTTTTAAAACTTAAATAGGCGTTAACGGTTTAACAGTTTACAGAGAAAGGATTTGTTTTTTGGTTGTAAATGGATTAACTCTAAAATATTAAGCGTAAAACAATTTTTAGAATTGGCATTAGTCCACGCGAACAAAGTCGCGGCTTAGTCAGTCAATAGTTTAAACAATATAATAAAAGATCAGCTAGTCCGAATTTGGCGGCAAGGCTCAACAAAGACCTAACCATCTGAACAGGACATGGTTATAGTGCCGGGGTTTTATACGTAGTAGAGAAACACTGCAGCTATATTTTGGTTGTAATACTAATGGGTCAGCTCCACCGGGGTAGGACCACGCCCTCAAGGAATACCAGCTTAATGCTGCTGTGTTTCGTACGGTGAGCGTAAGAACAGGAGACCCTTTTTAATGGAAACGAAGCACGGTTCCTGGTCGAGCATGAATGTAAATGTCTATTATAAAAATTCGTTCCAAAATTGTAACACAATAAATTTATTGTAAATTTATATATGTTTAAAAAAAGTCCCGCTGGGTTTTTTTGCTGGTTCTTCCCATGACAGAGGTATCTTTGCGGATCAGTGGTTAATTAAAAAATTTCATAAGTATTATATAACTATGTTGAATAAAATCATTCATTCTCATATATATATATATAAGGGTGACAAACGAGTGCACTGTCCACCTGATGGTAAGTGGATGCTGTGGCCCATAGGCATCTACATTTAACCTCGACTAAGAATCAAAATGCAGATGCGTTGTCACCCCTGAGAACTAAGATGGAATTCCTCGATTCCAGTAAAACGGGTCTCCAGTTCTCTACACTCACCATACGAACACAGCAGCATTAAGCTGTTATTTTACGCTAGTATTCTGTGAGAGCGTGGTCCTTCCCCGGTCGAGCCGACCCATTCGTGCTAGGTACAACCATAATATTGCTACAACGTGGCTCTACCACGTATACAAGTTATATACAACATGTAACAGAAACCCTGTGGTTCCCGTTAAGTGCGTTGTCAGGATCAGTATTCAACTAGAATTTTTTTTTTCATAAAAACACATTAAAAACATTGATTTTAAATAAAAAAATTAATTTGCAAATTGTATGTGGTTTTATTATATCAGTATTGGCCGAGGAGTTAGAGGATTGTCAAAGACCCCGCATTACAGATAGATACTCGTGTGAGTTAAAGGAAATAAAACCACATACCATTTTGCAAATATTTTTTTAATTAAATTCTAAAAAAAAATATTGTCGTTTTCTGATAAAACAAATATTTCTATACGCTGGAATACTGATTCTGACAACGCAGTTAACGGGAACCACAGGGATTTTGTAACATGTTGTATAATTATTATTATTATTGCGACATTATATAGAATATAACTTTACTTTTTAACTGTTACATGTATACATTATCAATAGCGTATGAAAATTTAAAACGGAGAAGGTTTTAGGTTATGATTATAATAACCTCTGGGAACGAAATGGTCGCTACCATGCTGTTTCTAAATGTTTGTTACTTAATTGTATAAACTATTGTATTGTAAATTAGTGTTTAATAAAAGTCCCGCTGTGTTTCTCGCTGGTTCCTCGGACAGGAACTCGGACTTGCTAAGCTGACTATGTATAAAATTATTTTTTTAATATATGAAGTATGAGATCTATTTTATTTGATTATTTATATATTATCTATACTTTTTTCGGTTAATTTGTATTTTATAAATGAAAGAGACACATGCCGTATCTATGATAATAATGTCCTCCAGACTGAATTACGGCCACGGTGGCCAGTCTCAATGTACACATCAGCGCAGGACGGGACTATAGTGCCCGAGTGTATGCGCAAATACAGATGCACTCTGTATTCCCTCAGTCTCATAGTCTAATGGGACGGTAATCTAAAACAACCGGAGACATAGGGAGATCAGGCGCAGTACCAACGGCTTAACGTGCTTTTCGAGGCACGGGGTTAAAACATCGCTTACTTCTTGACTCCGGGCTTTTGTTTTAAGTGTTTGAATGAATCATTATCACGTGCGCTCAAATGAGATTCACTTGGGAGCAATGATGCCTTAGACCTTAGATGGTAGATCGTACTGTCCATGCGTAGCCAGAACATATTCACTCCTGTCATAAAGATTGTAATCGGACGAAAAGGCAGACACTGGTAAATTACTGCAGTTCTTTGCATTTACATTTAAATGTATGCATTATGATTACATATATCTATTTTGTAAATATAACTGGACTTCTAGCTACTATAGAAGAAGCCACTTTGACCATGAATCCACACGGGCGTTATACAAATTCAATATAAACCCACCAAATGTTATTGTACTGTGATAGACACGCGACCCCAATAAAATTTAATGCCTCTTTATCGTAAGAGTCAAAACAAGGCATACAAGTGCTTATCAGTAATTACTGTTGCTGAGATACTGTACTAAAGAGTTGCTCGATCGAAATCAAAGTTAATAATATATTTATTTATTTATTTAATAGTCCGGAGACCTTTTTTAGCAGAAACGAGACATTTCATCTTAGTACTCAGAGGTGACAACGCATCTGCATTTTGATTCGTAATCTAGGATAGATATGTAGATGTCTATGGGTCCCAATATCTGCTTACCATCGGATGGACTGTGTGCTTGCTTGTGACCCTTATTCTTTAAAAAAATAACAAGCACCCTTACAATATATATGTACATGCATATATATATATATATATATATATGATATTATCACTTAAACATACCTACTTTTTACACCCTCTAATATGCATATCAATTAGGAGTAGAGATATCATATGTCAAGAATTTATCCTAACATGTCGGGAAATTTGGGCTCGTGTCACGATTGCGGTCGGATTTAGAAAATGCCAGACTTTTTTGATTCATTCAATTGGATTGGTGGGGTGTAATTTGCGACGTCAATTGAACGCTAGAGTGCACAAAACCAATAATAATTGATTTTATATTTTCAGGCTTTTTAATTTACTTTTGAAACAATATGTCAGCATTTTTTATGGAAATCAAATTATTTGTCAGGAGTTTTCAATTTTCCATGCGGTAACTCTAATTACTAGTGTACTTATCATTCTCAGATTGAGTCAGGCAAATTTAATTTTAGATTATTTTTGATTTAGGAATAGATATTATGATATATTATTATGTGAAGTCAATCAATACAATAAGAAATTATGCAAATAAATTATGTATCCATAAATAAAAATCTTTAAAAAACAGAATCATTTACTAGGAGAGGGCATGGTTAATATTAAACAAAGAATTTTATTTCATGTTTTGTTCAGAAATATGCACTGTTTAAAAGAAAGTATAAATAAATTTTGTTCTCATCAAATAGGCAAAGTATTATTTTAATGAGGAACTCGAATATAAATAATAATTGGTAAATTTTATTTTAAAGACATTATAAGAGGTCTGAAATAAGTCAAAGCTATTATTATTATAATACTTTGAAGGTACAATTCCGTGGCCATAACTTGTCGTCGTGCCACAACTGGTTTCTATGTAGTTCTATGAAATACATTCCGTAGCTACGGCGACGTAGACACGTCGTTTGCCTAGCGGCAGACGACACTGTAGCCCGACCGTAAATCAGTAGTGCCGCCAACGTCCGACCGACAACACATTGAATTTTTCTTAAAAAATGAGTTTCACCGATTCCGAGGAAGAGAAACTGATAAATCAGACCCAATAACCCGCACTGTGCGTTCCCTCACTTCCTCTGCATTTCAGCATAGGACCTGTGTCTTTTCATCTTTTCTCTTTATACTTGTATAATAAAAGCAAGTCATCATCATCTTCTAACAAAAGATACGAAAATAAATCGTGATCGCGAACTTCAAACACGTCAGACCCTCTGATCATATCCCACTGAATACTCCGAACAGACTGGACACGGGCTGCTGCCGTCTGCAATCGGCTTCGGAATTGCATCTTTAATCTGGAGGTTGCTGACTAGGACTGTAGGACTGTGATTTATTGGTCGAACGCCTCAGTCTCCCCCCCCCCCGTGACTACTATGTGGTTAATATACGCGATAAAATCATTAAAAACTAGTTTTATTTAAATGTGTAGTGTTCGAGTAAATATATAAAAAAACATCATCCATTACACTTGCCACATATACACGTAATAAGTGAATCATGTTACCGCTAATGAGGA